CTGCCATAGCCCCCCCCCGCCTCACCGCCCCACTCCTCTGGCACAGCCCCAGCCCACCTCAGGCCCCCGGCACACGCTTCACGACCTTCCCCTGGGCATCCTTTTCCTAGCATCCCACTGCACTTTGACACGTCCCCGACCTGACCCAGGCTTCCCTACAGCACTACCATGGCCCATTAGCCGCCCTACCCGACCCGGACTCCCTCCAGGCTGATCCCAGTGCCCAGACATCCCTGCGTGCCTGGGTGTGGCCCTTGCGCTGCCCGGGTGCACCACCTTCCCCCACCATGGCCCCCAGCTGCCCACCACCCCAGTGCTTCGTCCTCCTCCAGCCCCAGCGTGGTTCTCCCTGGGCCCTGTCCTGGTGCGTGCCCAGGCTCCCCCACCAAGTGTCACATTGCCTGGGACATTCCTGGTTGCAGGGACACCCTGCATGTGCAGGACCTGCAGCCCCAAACACGGACCCCTGTTCACCTTCTCTGTGGTTTCAGCCACGGTCTTGATCCCTGGCGGCAATGCTTGTCCCAGACTGACCCTAAGGTGAAGACCCCGAGCTGCACAGCCCCATCCAGCGCATGGCCTCTGTGAGCAGCACAGTCCCCCACAGCCGCCCTCGGATGCAGCCGGTACAACCAGCCCCCATGGCCCACGGCTGTAGCCCAGGAGGAACAGGGGACCGTCACCATTAACCCTGGAGCTGGGGCTACCAAGAGCTGGGTAGCAGAGGTGTGCCCCAGCTCTTGAGAGCAGTTTGCTGAAAGTTAAAGGCAGAGCCCTGGAATGCACAAAAAGGAAAAAGCTGTATTAAAGGTGACAAGAGAGTAAATGCAGAGCCTGGAATAAGACAGAAACGGAGGACTCTGGAGGTACAGAAAGGTAAAGGGCGGGGCTGGGGCACACTGAAAGGAAAACAGTGACCCTGGAGCACACAAAAAAGTACTTGAAAAATCTTTGGGACAGGGGAAAAAATTAAACAGGAAAACTTTGGGGCACACTGCAATACAAACACACAGCCCAGGGGTATGCAGAAAGGCACATGGAGGCCTCAGGGCAACCCAAAAATGTGAACTGAGGCATTCAGAAGGCAAACGGAGGGCTCTGGGCCACTACAAAATACAAAGGAAGGGTCTTGGTGCATACCAAAAGGGCCATAATGCCTTCTGTGGGACCAATGTTGCTGATCGAAGTTGCAGGCACTCCCTGTTCCTGTCAAAACCCCATCTTCCAGAAGGACCCACCCAGACCTCAGCCTCAGACACGCGGGGGACACCTGTTTGCTGCAGGCAAACTGAGGAGCAGCCTGGGGACCTCACGCAGCTCTGGAGGGTGATGGGAAATGCCATCAACAGCCCTGAGTGGGCATGGCAACACAAAGGAAATCCCCCACAGCCACATAAACAGCACAGGGGCTCTCCGGGAATCCCCGGGCACCCCAAAAGGTTCCAAGAGACCTTGGGACCAGCCTCCACCCCTTCAGACCCAATGGATAGCCCTCCTGCTCCTGGCCACGGTCTCCTGGCACTTTCTATCAAGGCTAAAGGGACTGCAGGAACCACAGACCGGAGTACAAAGAATGAAGCAATTGTTTATTAATGCACATGAGCAACATCTGGCAATAAGTCTGCTGTGGGGCTCAGTGCCAATACACTGCCCCTTCTCTTGCAACACCTTAAGAGTCATTAATGGACCAGCATTCGTGTCTGGTGAGGGAGGGCCAGCTCCTGCTCCTGCCTGTGGTGTAGCAAGTCACCGACTAGCTGTCAGCCACCCCGCCATGCCCTCCAAACACTTTTCCCTTTGGGGATAGGATTCAGATCTTATGTTTGAGAGGAAAATCCTGCTCTCACCTGTCTGCATTTCTTCCCTACCCCTAAGACTAGAGCCCTGCAAGAAAATTTCACATCTCTGGTCATTCACCACCTCAGCAGTGTGACTGAATGGGTCGTGCCAGCCCTCTATCGAACCAAGACCTAAGATCTGGACACACAGCCAAATGCTGGCTGTCAAAGGGAGAGGTAATGGTAGTGATCCTAACCAGAGTAATACTGTGCAGGAGTTAGTGATCCATTTAACAGTTAACCTGGAGAAGGCGCAGGCCTGGTGCTGTGCTATGTGGCAAATAAGCTTGGCCTTCAAGCCTGCGTCGTGCTGCACCTCAATACCTAACACAGTCTGAGTGCTTTTCTTACTGGGATCACAAAGAAAACTAGCTCCAGCACACTACTTCTGTGAACCCATTCCGCATCTTTTGTTTTCTTACCTTTGCATCCTGTCCTGACACAAAGCAGCAGGACCTCTAGCATAAGAAAAGGGCAACAAGGAATAGAGGTGATCCAGCTTATAACCCGAGTTAATTCCATAGACTGCTGGGGATACAAACTAGGAAGTCCTTCATGGATTCGTAATGCAGTTCCTAGCATAACCTGATTCACGTGCCTTCTGCAGCAGGAAGACCACGTTCAAGCGCATCAAGTTGCAATTCTTCCTCTGGCTCCTCCCGAACGCCTCAATGAATTGCACTTCTCATCTTTTTTATTTACACGCTTCCCACCTGAGGCCCTGCCAAGTCACGGGACATCCCCAGTCTCCTCCAGATCCTGGATACTGGCCATTCACAACTGCAGGAGGAGGGAGCTTGATGGGAAATGGAGCCGAGTGACTGCAGGGCCTGCTCCTGCTCCAGTGTCTGCCAGCTCCTTGGATACACTCCAGGCCCAGCAGGTGCTCTCAAAGGCACTTTGCTTTGCGTACCTCTTTCCTTACCACAGCCAGCAGAAGCCATGAAGATCCACTGAGGTTATTGCAGCTTCTCCTTAATTTCACAGGTTTATAGACACCTCTTCTCATTGAAGAATTCAGAAGGCAATCTGATTTTTGGATGCCTACAGATGTGATCCCAATCAGCAGCCTCAACCAATTTTGGTACTGCAATAGCTTTAGACATCTCCCTTTCTCATTTTCTAGCTTATACTCTAAGGAGTCTCTCGCTAGTAGTTTTCCATGGGGCTTTCCCCAAAACAAAAACCTCCCTGAACCACTTTGGTCATCTTATATAAAATACATATAGACAGAAGTGTATGTCTCTTCTCAAGAACATCATCCTAGTTTGAACATCGTGCTCACTGTGTTGCAAGCACGGTCTCCTCACCATGGCACCTTCCCAGGCATAGAAGAAGAGTTCAAATGTTAGCAATGGGGCTGAGCTGTGATTTCATGTAGCATCCCCTCCGCCCCTCTTTTATTGGTATGTCACCACCCTCCCAGGAAACAAGCAAGGGCTACAACTAGCAGGGTCTGAGCTGCTAGCAGCAAGAATCAGAGGAGCATGAGTTTGTCATATCTAGACTAGACGTGACCTTTTGAAAACATTCAAGTATGACCTATGATACACTTCCTTTCACTTATTTGTTTGACTGAACACTTCCAAGGGCTTTTTGACTCAGTGACTTCATCATACCTTCAAGTCAGCATTGTGCAAAGTCATGTCCCTTTTGTACACAGCACTGTTCCTCACTTCACCTCTAAGGACTACTGCTATCATCACAGAGCTACTTTTGAGATACTTTATTTACAGCAATGCAAAGAGCAGTACAAAAAAAAAAAAGACAGGTGAGTTATGCAACCCCTTGTCATAACTGTCCCTCCTTATCCCACCTTTACAAATGCATTCTGGATACAAAACCTTTGTGGAAACATTTTGCTGGTCTTGGACATACAAATGAACAGATGCCTCACCACAGTGCAGCAGCATGGTTCAATCCTGTTTGGTGCCAGTCAGTGGCTGGTCAGGATGCTGCTGAGGCTCAACAAGACAGGCTCTGGGTTCAGGTGTGTCCCAAAGGAGAAGCAGTTCCCACCACCGCCAATAAGCAACAACTCCTTCTCATTTGGCAGAAAGACACTACTATGATTGTGTAGCATTAATGGCCACTCCAGATGCTCCTAAAAAAGAAAAGGAGATATTGAACATACAGGAGTTCAACACGTGTACCTCATACAATGCTGTAGAGATATCTCATACGGTACCTTCATTAGAAAGTTAAGAGCAGCCACACTGGGTCCCATCTAGGACCGTTTAGTCCGCTATACCACCCACAAATGTGGGCAAAAATAGATAGCTAGAGAACACAGGAACAAGGAAACGATGATACACTCTTCTAGTATACTCCACCCACACAACAACTTGCAGTTCAGTGATTTTTTTAATGAAAGAGAATGTCTTTGTACTCCCTGAACCTTAACGTTTTTCCTTTCGAGAACATAGCCAGTCACTTTTTGAATCCATGTAAACCTTTGGCATTCATGTTCTGTGACAACGAGTTCCAGAGCTTAACTATGTTTCATATGAAGTACTCTTCTGAAGCATATTGCCTGCCAGCTTCTTTCGATGTCTCCTAGTACTTACATCAGAAGCAGCAATGAACAGTCATGCCCTCTTCACAACGGAGACAGCCTACATTATATAATTACACATTGAGGTCCACAAAACATCTGATTTATAACCTGTATATCTGACAATCTGAAGAGAAGCTCTTTCATGATGACCTCCAATATTTGAAAGCTCAGGAAAGTGAACCTTGGAGACACTTGTTGCAAATAACAGACTGTAGCAGTAACAAAACTGCTGTGTTGGCAATTCAGTTATTGTTGGGGCCACTGGAATCTGAAGAGGACAGGTTGTAGAGGCTTCCCTTGTAAAATGCTCAAGACAGAAGGCAGCTTTTATGAGGGTACCCTCGTCTATATTCTTGGAGAAAGATATATCTGCCCATGATAACTGTTCCATGGCTTTTTCAAGCACAGAGAAAGCTGCCAGACAATGGTTTTGGCGCCATCACCTTCTAATGCATGTATCAAAGCAGTAATACTAATAGTATCTAGTACTGCATGGAAAATCACTCACAATTCCAGTCTTTCAAAACTTGGGACCAATCCACACACACTGTACAGTACTATCAATACTTTAGCACAGTACTGGTAGATTCAAAAGCCTACAGAGTTTCACCTAAGTCAAAGCAAACAGCTCATAAGCAAAGGCAGCTACCAATCCATCTGCATCCACTTATTCAATGTAAATAAAAAAGTTCTATTCTTTTAGATAGAACTTTATTATCACTGTACCCATCCTCACCACTATCCAACAAGAATAGCCTATTTTATCTAAAGGATACTAGGCCACTTATAACTTCTGCTACAGAGACTAAGAAAAAACTAAACTAGATTTAAGCATACTTCATGCTTTATGCCCTCAGGAAAATGCTGCAAGGTCAGCCAGATGCACACATACTGCCTATTATAAAAAACAGACCAGTCACAAATTCCAGTTTCACCGAGGACAGGATCCATATGTACAGATATCTAAAGAAATTTGTTTCTTTACATAAAAGATAAATAAAAACTTGTCAACCAACAGAAGCTTTCTCATAGAATCATAGAATGATTTGGGTTGGAAGGGACCTTTAAAGGTCATCTAGTCCAACCCCTGCCCCGCAACGAGCAGGAACATCTTCAACTAGATCAGGTTGCTCAGAGCCCCGTCCAACCTGACCTTGAATGCGTTCAGGGATTGGGCATCTACAACCTCTCTGGGCAACCTGTGCCAGTGTTTCACCACCCTCACTGTAAAAAACGTCTTTCTTCTATCTAGTCTGAATCTACTTCCCTTTAGTTTAAAACCATGACCCCTTGTCCTATCACTACAGGCCCTGCTGAAAAGTCTGTCCCCATCTTTTTTGTAGGCCCCCTTTAAGTACTGAAAGGCTACAGTAAGGTCTCCCTGGAGCCTTCTCTGCTCCAGGCTGAACAACCCCAACTCCTCAGCCTTTCCTCATAGGAGAGGTGTTCCAAGCCTCTGATCATTTCTGTGGCCCTCCTCTGGACCCACTCCAACAGGTCCATGTCTGTCTTGTACTCCAGGCACTATTATCACAGATGAGGGCTACTCACGGATTTACACTAAGTTTTGCCCAGAGTATGCCAAAATCCTGCTATGTGACATCACCTGTATGATTGTTCTTCACTGAATCATAGAAGAGAATCACAGAATAGTTGAGGTTTGAAGGGACCTCTGAGTATCATCTAGTCCAACCACCCCTGTTCAAAGCAGGCTCAACTACAGCAGGTTGCTCAGTGCCTTGCCCAGTCAGGTTTTGAGTATCTCCAGTGATGGAGACACCACAGCTTCTCTGAACAACCTGTTCTGTGTTCAATCACCCTTACAGTAAAAAGTTTTCTCATGCTTAAGTGGAATTTCCAGTATTTCCATGCTGTTTTCTTGTACTTCAGGAAGCAGCTATAGCACACAGCAATTTCCACCATGAAGTTTTTAATGAAATTATACCACAGACCTCCATAAAGACTAACTGAGGCTCTGGTTTGATCTGTTCTCTTCTTCCACAGACATCCTGAAATGACTATGCTTGTGCCCGTCTCCGTTCTGCGCCCCGCCCCCCGCCTGGAATAGAGCAGCTCCGTGCCCTCCACTCTTCTGCCCACTCAGACTCTCCCTCTCCTAACACTGTTACGTTCTCTAGGCTGGTAAAAGCACTTCAAAATTAGATTCTACCTCAAACAGGGAATGTTTATTCCACTCACAAATTTGCCTACTTTGCATTCCCTACTCCATTTCAGGGAATAGCCCTAAAGTTACCACGTTCCTTCACACAACACTTTTACCCTGAAAGAAAAATTTCAGTACTTACCACATTAATCGCATAGTCCAAGCAGAGACCAGTAACTAAGTCAATGACAGTGATGCCTGGCACAGAGGATGAGTGAAACCACACTCCACCAACAAGCAGAAGTTTTCCATCATGCACATGTGCAGTATGTGAATACCTGTGAGTTCAAAATGAGATTGAACTTAATTAATGAGAGGTGTGCAGAGACAGGCCGAAGATTCACTGCTGAATGCCTTCTGCTTACCTTGGGATGAGAGGAGGGTGTGTCTCTACTATCTGCCACTGAAAGCCATGTTCAAGCTCCCTCAGAAAGAAAACTGAACCTAAGGGCTGCTCAGCTGCTCCCAGACCTCCTGCAATTAGCACTCCTCCTTTCCAGCTACAGGCACTGTGAGAGTGACGGCTTTCTGGTACTGGACCCTCAACAGGAATCTAGGAAAACATAAGTCCAAGGCTGAAGTTTGCCAAGCTAAGTGTCTTCCTCACGTCCAGGCTCTTAAACGATCTCTTTCTGTTGCATGTCCTGTGGGATGTAACGTTCTTTCCTGCCATAGGATAGGAACAGTTGCTGGAGGGGAACAGAGTAAGCATGATAGGGAACAATCAAAAAACCCCAACCGACAGATGTTCCTCTAGGGCTAAGTAGAAGTGTTTCCATTTACACTATCTCCAGTATTTTTCCAATATTCCTCCGGCCCGCAGTATATTTAATATCATTTAGTCTTCAGGGGGTTTTATTTCTGCACGTTTATTAGAGGTAACTATTTGCATTCTTGCATGCTGCTTTCTGTTCAAGACATGCACCTGAGAACCACAAGCTTACAAACGCGCGGACTAATGCAGTGACCAGCAAAGCAGGTGATCAGCGGCTGCAGCCACAGAGCAAGGTAACATGCTGAACTGTAGTACTAATATGCAGAAAGAAAACCTTTAATGCAAGCACTAAAGATGGTTATTTAATAGTTTCTGAAAGTCTGCAGTGACAAGAATTTCTCCCCTCTTTAGGCAGTCTATTGCAGCACTTTACTATCTTCACAATTAACAGCTTTTCTTAGTGTCAAATTGAAGTTCCCCTTTCTATAGATTCCTTGTTCTACTCAAAGTAAATATGGAGAATAATTTGTTTGTCCTCTCTGCAGCTGTATTTTACATATTTGAAGATTTATTTCCATCTTGAATCTTCTCCAGACTCAATAGCTGCAAGTCTTTCAAAATCTTCCCCTGCAAGGTACATGGTCTGGTCAGTCTCGCTGCATACCTCTACAGAGCTGTACTGCATCCTGTCCACCTCTTTTTCTCAGGAATCAGCTTTGGGTATTTTACAAGGGTCCTGCTGAGATTAAGAGCACTGAAGAGAAGGACCAGTTCACGTGTCTTACAGATACCATTCCTAGTTACATACCTGAACTCACGGTATAGGCCTTCCACAATAGCGTATTGCTCACTCATGTTTAGCTTGTGATCTCTTGTAATTATGTGTCTCTCACCCTATAATTGTGCTACGCACTATTTTAAAAACTCAGTCTATCTTTAATTAACTGCAATTTAGTTTTCCACAAGTATTTCTTCCATGTCAAAGTAATTTTGAATTTTCATCTTGTCCACTAACGTACTATTGAGCCTACTCTGCCTGATACTAACTGCCTCTATAATATAAATACTGTTTGCTTCATCGTTCTTGTCATTAGTAATTAGACCCCAGGACTGATTCTGTGGGACACCACCATTTCCACAGAGCGTGATTTCTAAATATTCTCAAAGTCTGATTTCCAAATAATTTTTCACTACCCTGCAATACTCACGTTTAAATCGTGTTTTCTCAGTACATTATGAAAGTGTCACACAAGATGCATCTAAGTCCTACTAAAGTCATGATACATACCCTTTCTTCAGGACAAAATCTACTGCCATGCCATAGAAAAATAAATAATGTTAAACAAATTACTTCTTGAACTCTTGGTGGTGGTCACTTACCTCCCAATTATCTTCCAGATATTTATAGTCTGTTACTATTAGTTTCTGTATTTTTGCGGACCGGAGATGAAGTTGATTTGGCTTCCATAAAAGAAGTTCAAAGCGTCAGTGGAGGGCGAGAGCATCTGTTTCTTTAAGTTTATTGAATCACAGTTACTTTCAGTGCAAATGGAATAATGAGTGAAGGGGGAAACTGATCAACAAAACCACACAGACACAAACCTGATAGACATGGGATAATGGAGACAACGCCAAAGATCTCCAATCACTAATCCACGGGCCATTAAGAAACTCCAGGCATAGCTCTGGAGAGGGCCAACCTGGACTTTGCAACTGACAAGGGGGAAGTGAGGAACAAGAGGATTTGGCCAGTACACTTGACCGACTGAGCTCTGCACCCCAATCTCTTTTATTGATTAGACCATTTCTTAACTATGTCTCTGTGTAATATCCCTCCCTACCCCATACATGTGAGCGATGCAAGCACTAGGTGCATGCAACCGCAGAGACAAGCATCAGTGAATATGGAGCCAGCAAATGGAGTCAGAGCAGGGGAGGGAAAGCATTCCTGGGCCTTTTGTGCCAGCAACTGGAGCAAGTGAGCGTCTCGGCATCAGGAGCTGGAAGGGCCACAGATCTTGGGATCATCTTCATGGCTCTCAAAGACTTTGTGTCCAGAGTGCCAGCTACTGGGGAGGCCAGTGTGAGTGAATGGGACAATGAACTGGAGTCAGACTGGGGATGTAAGCACCCCTGGGCCTGTGGAGCAAGTGGAAGTCTCAGTGCCAGACAACTGGGACAAGACCACCACAGGTCACAGGACCTGTGCAAGTCCCAGATGCAATTACCTGGGTGCCCAGGGCAACTGAATCAAGTGAGAATCTCAGTGCCAGCAGCTGGAATGCCTGGATGCCAGCTGCTGGAGGAGGGACCAGTGCGTTTGTATTTTCCCTGAACCTTGCATGTATATGAATGTGCATCTCCAAGTCTCGCTCTTGAGACCTTTCACCATCTTGGTTGCCCTCAAGAAGAGCATCATAGAATCACAGAATCAGAGGATATCTTGAGTTGGAAGGGACCCATAAGGATCATTGAGTCCAACTCCCTGCTCCTCGCAGGACTACCTAAAACTAAACCATATGACTAAGAGTATTGTCCAGACATTCCTTGAACTCTGACAGGCTTGGTGCCATGACCACTTCCCTGGGGAGCCTGTTCCAGGGACCAACCACCCTCTCAGTGAAGAATCTTTTCCTAATGTCAAATCTGAACTTCCCCTGACACAGCTTCATCCCATTGCCTCGTGTCCTGTCGCTGGTCACCCGAGCGAGGAGGTCCGCACCTCCCCCTCCGCTGCCCCCCCCCGAGGAAGCTGTAGACTGCGATGAGGTCACCTCTCAGCCTTCTCTACTCCAAGCTGAACACACCAAGTGACCTCAGCTGCCCCTCCTAAGTCTTGCCCTCAAGACCTTTCACCATCTTGGTCACCCTCCTCTGGACACACTTTAATAGTCTGATGTCCTTCTTATATTGAGGCGCCCAAAACTGCACAGTACTCGAGGTGCGGCTGCACCAGTGCAGTGTAGAGCGGGACAATCACCTCCCTCGACTGGTTCACTATGCTGTGCTTGATGCACCCCAGGACACGGTTGGCCCTTTTGGCTGCCAAGGCACGCTGTTGACTCATGTTCCACTTGTCATCAACCCAAATCCCCACATGTCTTTCCGCGGGGCTGCTCTCCAGCCTCCTGTCCCCCAATTTGTACGTATAACCAGGATTACTCCGTCCTCGGTACAGAATCCGGCACTTGCTCTTGTTAAATTTCATACGTTCAGTGATTGCCCAGCTCTCTAGTCTATTCAGATCTCTCTGTAAGGCCTCTCTACCCTCGAGGGAGTCCACAGCTCCTCCTAATTTAGTATCATCAGCAAACTTACTTAATGTACATTTGACTCCTGCGTCCAGGTCATTTATAAAAACATTAAAGAGCACTGGCCCTATAATTGAGCCCTGTGGAACTGGTGATTGGCTGGCAGCCTGATGTAACTCCATTTACTGTAACTCTTTGAGCCAATTGCTCACCCACTGTATTATGGACTTGTCTAGCTGTATGCTGGACATTTTGTCCAGAAGGATACTGTGAGAAACAGTATCAAAAGCTTTGCCAAAATCCAAAAAACCCACATCTACTGGCTTCCCTTGGTCAACTAGATGAGTGACCTTGTCATAAAAGGAAATTAAGTTAGTTAAACAGGACTTTCCCCTCATGAACACGTGTTAGCTATGACCAACGACTGTGTTGTCTCTCAAGTGTTTTTCAATAACTCCCAGAATAACCTCCATAATTTTACCAGGCACTGAAGTGAGACTGACAGGCCTGTAATTACCAGGGTCTTCCTTCTTATCCTTCTTGAAAACTGGGACATTTGCCCGCTTCCAGTTGACTGGGACCTCTCCAGACTCTGAAGACCATTGAAAAATAATGGAAAGAGGTCCCACAATAACATCAGCGAGCTCTTTCAGTACTCTGGTATGAAACCCATCGGGCCCCATAGATTTATGAATTTATCCATCCAGCTAGAGCAGCAAGTCTCGAACAAGTTCAGAGTCAGCTGGGAATTTATCATTCCCCCAGTCACAGTCTTCCAACAGTGGGTTCTGGAACACCCAGAGCCCTCCATCGGTGTTAGAGACAGAGGCGAAGAAGGCATTGAAGTCTCCACTTTTTCTATGTCCCTATTTATGAGGTGACTGACCTCATCAAGTAACAGACCAATGTTATCTCTGATTCTCTGATCCTCCTTTTGCTGTTAACATATTTAAAAAAAGACCTTTTTGTCATCCTTTACAGTACTGGCCAGCTTGAACTCTAATCGAGCTTTGGTCACATGAATTTTCTCCCTACAGTGGCAAACAGCATCCCTGCAGTCCTCCCATGTCACCTGTCCTTGCTTCCAATGTCCATATACTTTCCTTTTCTGCCTAAGTTCTAGAAGAAGATCGCTGCACAGCCAAGCCGGCCTTCTGCGCCATTTGCTTGACTTCCAACACTTTCGAATTGCTTGCTCCTGTGCTCTTAAGAGATGGTTCTTAAAAAGTGACCAGCATTCATGAACCTCAATGCCTTCTAAAGCAGATTCCCAGGGGACCTTACTAATTAGTTCCTTCAGCAGTCCGAAGTCCCCATATCCAGGGTCGAAGTTTTGCTGGCAGTTCTCCTATCGCCAACGATTTGAAACTCAACTACTTCATGGTCACTGGGACCAAGACAGCCACCAATCACCACTTCGCCCACACGTCCTTCGCTGCTTACAAACAACAAATCTAGGAAGGCGTCTTTCCTAGTTGGCTCCTTTAGTACCTGCACCAAGAAGGTACCTTCAACATGCTTCAGGAATTCCCTGGACATGTTTGTGTCCGCTGTATGATGTTCCCAGTTGACGTCTGGGAAGTTCAAATCACCCATAAGGACAAAGGCAGCTGATCTAGAGATACTCCTTAATTCCTTATAGAATAATTCATCAGTGTCATTGTCCTGGCTAGGTGGTCGATAGTAGACTCCCACAACAACATCCATTTTATTTGCTTTCCCCTTAATCCTTACCCAGAGGCTCTCAACCGTGTCATTGCCAACTGCAAGTGCCATACAATCCAACTCCTCCCTTATACACAGTGCCACCCTCCCCGCCTCGCCTGCCCTGCCTATCCCTCCTGAAGAGCTTATAACCATCCATCACAGCACACCAGTCACAGGACTCATCCCACCAGGTTTCTCTTATTCCAACGATGTTGTAGCTCTGGGACTGGGCCAAAGCTTCTAGCTCCTTATTCATTCCCTATGCTGCACGCATTAGTATAATGTGCTCCAGTGTACTCAGCACATTGTGCAGCACACTGAAGGACCTCACTAGCACACTGTCCCTCAAGCACTGGTATGCCATCCTGTGGCTAAGCACTAGTGAGCCTGGTTTTATCCCTTTCCCCCTTCAAATCTAGTTTAAAGCTTGTTCGATGAGCCCTGCTAACTCCTGTGCAAAGACCCTTTTCCTCCTTTGAGAAAGGTGCGCCCTGTCTGTCGCCAGCAGGCCTGGTGTCGTGTACACTGACCCATGATCAAAAAGCCCAAAATTCTGCCAGTGACACCAGTCATGGAGCCAGGTATTGATCAGCTGAATCTTCCTGTTTCTGTCAACATCACTCCCTGCAACTGGAAGGAAAGAGAAAAACACTACTTGTGCTCCTGAACCCTTAACCAGTCGTCCCAAGGCCCTGAAGCCTCTCTTGATTGCCCTTGGACCAACTTCATTGCTGCCTACATGAAAAAGCAATAATGGATAATAATCCAAGGGCCATAACAGGGTAGGAAGTTTTCTTGTAACATCTTTGGCCTGGGCCTCATGGAGGCAGCAGACTTCCCTAAGAAGTGGGTCTGGCTGGCATATTGGGCCTTCTGTTCCCCTCAGAAGAGTCTCCCATATTAATGACACATCTTTCTTTCTTAACGGAAGTGGTTTTGATGCAGGGCATAGGTCAACTTAACCTTGGCGACATGTCTAACCTAGATGGACCATCATCCTCATCGTTGTTTGGTTCCACTTCCAGAGCCTCATACCTATTATGCGAGGGCACCTGCAAAGGTGAGGTAGTCACAGAGGAGATGCGCCTGCTGCACCAGGCAGGAACTTGTCACCATTCTCCTCTATCCCTTAAGTCAACGCATTCTGCGTGGCGGAGAGAGGACAGGGAATCCTTCATATCACGTGCCCTGTATGCCTGGCAGGTCTGTCCTAGAGAAGGTAAGGTGCGGTTCCAGTAGACAATTTTCTTCTCAGACTCCCTGATACTCCTCAAGCTACTTGCTTCCCCCCGGAGCTCTGCCACTAAGCTGAGGAGTTCCTCTACCTGGGCACACCTCCCGCAGGTGTACCCTCTACTGCTGTCCCATACTGGCGTAAGAGTAGGGCACACCCCGCAGCCTGACACCTGGGTGGCAGCATGTTCCCATCAGAGCTCTGCCAGGGGAGCTGCGTCAGCTGCAGACATAGCCTTCTGCTGGGCAGACACCATTGCTCCCTGTTCGAGCCACCAAAGCTACAGTGCCCTTCCGTGCAAACTGCCGCACCACACCCTGTTTGCCTGCCCTGCTCGCAGTGCTCCTGGTCGCTAGTGCTCCCTAGGGGTCTGTTTTATAGGTGGGGGGGGCTTGGCCACAGTTGCTCCTGGCCCCATCTCTGCCCTCCCCTGAGGAAACCCCCCTGCACACCATGCTAGAGCATCTGCTGCGGATCATGCTGGCACCGGAGCAGCTTGCCTCAGTGACCGAGAATGTTCACAGGGAAGTCTTATCAACATGTATAAATGCCTAATGGGAGAGATGAAAGAAGACAGGGACATAATGTTCTCAGCAGTATCCAGCAACAGGGCAAGAGGCAAATCAAAACCCAACTGGACAGTATCCTGAGCAACCTGTTCTAGTTAGACCTGCTTTAAGCAAGGGTGCTGGCCTAGATGATCTCCAGATGTCCCTTGCAACCTCAACTACTCTGTGAAGACTATTCCACTAAATAGCAAGGTGTTTAGAAGTTAGCTCTAACTCTAATCGCCATGGAGTGTGACAGTACTGCCAATGCCATCCACTTCAGTACGGTAATACCACTGTGATTTAGCTGGGCTTCCAATACAGCAGCATGCACCTATGAAGTGAAGGCAATTTCCACTCCCCGGGGCTTCCCTAATTTCTTACCACAGTGCAGGAAAGTTCTTGAGTGTGCAGGAAATACCAATCCCCTAGCACAGGCTCCACAGCAGAGCGGCCGCCATACAGAAACAGGTACTTCTCACCTATGGAAAAAGACAACCAGGTGAAAAGAGAAGTCAGAATCTGGTATGTCACAAAAGCAAAAATTTCTGTTGCACAGAAGGGAAGCTGACCAAGGACAGAAATTAATGCAGTCAGGCAGAAGTTTTATACACTATTTATACAAAGACATCCTGCAGCCTGACGAACACTTCCAGACAAGCAAGAAATTGTTTCATAAATACAGGAATTACTCTTGTATCTAAATCTTTTATAAGACACAGGAAAGACTAAATGTTTTTACTAAGAAGCTGTATTCTTCACGTTTGTGGTCATTCAGAAGACCCCCATCATCCACTTAAATTAGGTAGTTTCTGAATGTTTAAGGTGTGAATGGAAATCACACACTATAGTCTCAAACGCAAAAGGAGAAAACATGGGTTTTTGTATACTTAATGGACTTAAGGCATGAAAATTTAGGCAATGGAAGATTACACCTGTAGAACTAATAAAACTAGAAAATCCTAAGTACATAAATCATAGCAACACAATGACATCTATTTATCCCAAGAAAACAGATAAATCCTCATAAAACAGCAAGAATGTGTATTTGTTCATATAAAAGGGAGATAATGATAATTTAAGTGTGTAGGAGTTAATCTGGAGAAGCCTGAAAAAGGAGGTACAAAAGGTGCAAAAGTACTTTGGGCAGATGTCAAGGATGTGTGTTAACTGCACTAAGCCCTGACAGCTCATTTCTTCGTAATGGACTACGCAAATAACACAAGTGTTGGTCACTTACTTCAGCTACAAAGCAAAATCAAGGCAAAAATAAGATGATACAATACAGTCTGAGAAAGACAAAACCCAATGTATTATTTATAAAATTTTATTTACCCATTTAGCATTTGCAGCCTTTCAATACTTAGAGGCGGCTTATAAGAAAGACTGAGAGAGACTTTTTACCTGGGCCTGTAGTGACAGGACAAAGGGTAATGGTTTTAAACTAAAAGACGGTAGGTTTAGATTAGATATAAGGAAAAAATTTGTTACTATAAGGGTGGTGAGATGCTGCAGCAGGTTGCCCAGAGAAGCTGTGGATGCCCCATCCCTGGAAGTGTTCACGGTCAGGTTGGATGGGGCTTTGAGCAACCTGATCTAGTGAAAGATGTCCCTGCCCATGGCAGGGTGGTTGGAACCAGATGATCTTTAAAGGTCCCTTCCAACCCAAACCATTCTATGATTTACATAATGGCAGAATAGTACTCTCCATCCTGGTTTTCGTTCCTTTACTAGTAATTCTTAACGCTAAGAATTCTTAACATTTGCTTTGCTTTTCTTTTAAGCATCTGTTTATCATTACAAAGCCTCACTCACTAGCAGTGCTAGGTTACCTGCTAAAAAGCTCACCTGCACACCCACAGAGGAGCACAGAGGCAAAACAAGGTGGGGGAACCCAAATAATGTCCTGCCTCAGCTACTTCCAGACGCATCCCAGGAGAGCAAGCAAGCCATAAAAGGCTCATTTCCTCACGCACAAGAGCAGCACAGAGAGGCAGTGGCAGGTGTGCAGGCAAAACCTCAATTACGTGCTTATAGAAACAATCTGTCCCAGCTCCTCCCAGGGCTGTCCCAGGAGAACTGTCAGCCCCATTGTCCAGCTGTGAAACGCACCCAAATGAGTGAACAGGAGCAATTCTCTGGAACACCTTTGAAGGGGTACTGCCTAGGGGTATGGGATACATTATAAGATGCAGGGGAAGAGCATTTGGAGTTTGTATAAGACTTATTATGAAGTGTTCAGGCGAGGAACCAGAGGCAGGAAAGGGGATGAATTTACGTGATTTGGGGAGGTACAAACACAGGAAGATAGAGGGATAAAAGGATAAAAAGGGCTAGTCACGTCAACAGGTTGCTGGTCAATGTGCCTGTTTGGCCACATCCTGCACCTTAAACACGAAGAGCTGGAAATGAGTCTTTTCATTTGTGGGTAGGTGTGTTTGTGAGAGGGGAGCCAACCAAACTGCAGTTGCAAGTATATATTGTAGCACTTTCAAAAATGCATTATGAGCTTTTTTTGGCACTATACAATCATATGTATTTTTTGATTCTTGCCCTACATCTAGAAAACTAACAAGATTGCAGCTCATCTATAATAAAAGTCATTATCACAAGGTATCTGTTGCATAGGTTCTGTAATGAATCAACCATGTATTAATGGAATAGATAACTGAAATCCTGCTCAATTGTTGGATCAACCAATTGAGTTGCTCAGTTCAGGAAACTCAGCTGAGACTGCTCAGTCTTTCCCTTTTGTCAGATTTAGTAAAGTCTATCACAAATACTTTTGGACTTGACAAACAAAAAAGGCACAACAAGAACTGGGTAGATACGGCAAGAAAAATACATTCAAACGAAGTGTAAGCCTTAAGTCTTTAAGCCCGGGGAAAAAAATCACCACTGGAACAAATTCTTTATGAAATGTAATGGGATTCTCTAAAGTGATGATGAATCTATCAAGATCACATTCATTCCAAAATGTTCCGCAAAAAGCTGTTGTTTCAGACAAAGGAATACAATGCACCAACATTAACTGTATAGCCTGTACTACATAAAAAGTAAGGTTATATCATGACGATTTGCCTTTTAGACCTTACCGTCTGGACAGGCCTGCCCCATATATTCTGGAATTTGTATACCTCTGCATACCTACAGCCATTTCCACTCT